TATTCAAGACATCTGCAACAGAATACGGAGATCACCTGGTATCTGTTAAAGCCGAGCGCACATGACAAACTGTGGCAGGTCCACGCAGCAGCCTCCGCTGTTGCACGAATGGGCAGCCTCGTCCGGGTAAGAACCACGACCTCATAGAAGACCGGCGTAAAGTGGAAGTATAAACTTTTGCGTTTCGTCTGGTGAGTGTAGCTGGAGCCTCATTTTCAAAAGGTTGTCAACGCATCTGTAACCCTTTGGTGTATCAGATGTCCATGGCCGGCGGTATTCACATCAAGTGAATCGTTTGCTCGCTTGTCCACTTTTCACACATAACAAAAAAATAGACCACGTGAGTCGAACGGGGGCTAACTTACGAGAGTTTCCTTAATACATAACACATTCCTCTATTCGCTACGTAGGGGGACCCATAGGAAATCTGGCAAACTCCCACCGGTCCTCCTCCTACCTCAACAACCCCTAGCCGACAACCCTATTTCATAGCCAGCGCAGGCACGTGGGTCACTCTATTACTTTAGATTCCACCCATCTCTAGAAAATGTAAGTTAGGTATTAGATGAAGCGATATTAGTCTTCTAACTGAAAGTATTACTTCGTTTATATCTGTTGGAATGTGAAGACAAACAAGCAAACTAAATACCCTATTATGAAGAATGATTCGTTATTTGTACTCGGTTTTCCTCATTAAGCTTGCGCAAGAAAAAATCCAATTGATTTAATAATATTGACGGAATTACGACCTTACGTATGATGGGAAATATATGCAATAAGTTCAAACAGAAATAGAAATATGCTCATGATGATTGATGCTCAAACTACAATTTGCCATCCAATCAGTCGTAATCTAAGCGATCCCGTCTGCTAAGCTGCTGGTTCCGCTTCATTTTTTTTAGTATTCAGGCGTAAATGTTCATTATATTGAATTATTAACCTCTGGCGATTAGCTTAGCAAAAATTGGTTCCTAAATACATAAAATGTGTCATCATCACTTAAAAGTCTCCTCTCGTCAACATTTTAGAAGACATTATTAGTAAAGAATTCGGGTACCTACTCTTAATGTTAATGGGATGTAGTAGTTTTCCTCTTAATTGTACATTTATTGGATTTGTCTAACATAACATTTATCTATAAAACTACGCATCGGCTTTTCAATGCAGTTTTCGGCAATAGATAGAGTGATTCGAGAGGTAGGTTTTTTGTGGTTTACTTGCATATTATAGTGGAGCAAAGTCGAGAAATTCATAGATTTAGAATGTATGTCGTAGGTAAGAAACATATTTTTGTGCGCTTACATTGCAAACGCTGGCTAGACCTTATATGTTTATGAATAGGTATATGTTTATATTATATATGTTTATATTTGCACCCGTCCAAAGCCGGGGCAGGTCGCTAGCATACGATAAATTGGTTAATACATTATGAGGTCATTGAAATTAATGGTGAATTACTTTATTATCTGGACAGGGAGATAAGCGAACAAGGGGTAATTTTTTTCCTATGATATCAGTTTTGTTTATTATCTTTCAAGATTTACGTCTTGGTTTTTCAGACGAACGAGGTTAAAATGCACTTTGCGATAGGCGGAACTATATAAAGGCGCAGTCTCGGGTCTGTAACTATTCAGTCAAGTACAAGCGTGTATCATGAAGACCACGTCGATAATTAGATTCGCAGCGTTGTCGGTGGTGCTGCTCGCCTCGGCGAAGGTGTCCTGCCAACAACCGAGCAAGAGCCAGCTGCAAGAAGTATCTGCGAAATTGAGCCCAGATGTAACGAACAAAATAATACTGTGTCTCATCAACTTGGTCATGTCGCAAGATATCACCGTGAAGTCAGTCCTGAAATGCGTGGCATCAAGTGGAGTGAGCCCCATACCGTACGGCGCTGGCAATTTTGCAAACTTCATAGTCAAGAACGGGAAAAGTATCAAAGAAGACGGCGTGATCCAGAACGCAGCGCTGTCCTGGGGCAAATGGCAACAGGATGGTCAAGATGTGACCACGGTCAACAACATTGAATTCAATAATGTTCAAGAGGCGAATTTCAGGGCGTCGGGGCGCGATAACAGCCCTTCGGGCGCCGAAGGACAATTCGAAATCCACGTGGGTGGAAAGAATGTCGCCGTCGTCGAATTCGATATACCGTTCTGGGGAGAGAACCAGTTTAAAATTCGTCACGTGGACGATCAATTTTTGTGCAACCAGAGCGGCTTCACATCCGACGGCTCCCCGACTATCAATATAAAATGCCATAAGCTTGCCTCTCGACTTAAACCCTAAATAACACCAATCTTTGTGTGCACTTAAATGTCTCAATTCCATTGTATGTAACTTGTGATTTTCAATAAATTTTGCATATTTCAAATGTTCGCGTTTCTCTGTTCTCTATGCTAATAATGCTAACTGCTAAATGCTAACTGGTGCTAAATAATAATGGCACTTGAAACTATAAAAAGTAACTCTGTTCACCGAAACGCTTTGGAAATTTCAAACCGCTATTAGCTCATCTAAATTCACTAGAAACGCCCATATCATCGTAATTTTGAGGATCTGTATTAAAACAACTTAATTCTGTTTTCAAAATTCTACAAGGTTTCGATACACATAAGCTGAGAAGAATACCGAAACATTCACAACAGAAGTACCTAGTGTTTCTTGTAAGCGTTTCCGCCGGTGATGCTGGCAGAGCGCTTCTTAATGATATTACCAAATTATGCAACTTAATGCTTTCCGGAAAAGTAAATCCTAAATTTGTTCCTTTCTTATACGGGGCAAGATTATGTGCCTTTAAAAAAAAAGATAATGGTATCCGTCCTATTGCTATTGGTTCTACCTTTCGACGCTTAACTTCAAAATTAGCATGTAGGCACATAATCTCCGGCCTTAAAAGAAAATTCCAGCCTATTCAACTAGGCTTTGGAAGCAAAGGCGGCTGTGAAGCGGCTGTACATTCCGTTCGAACTTCTTTAAATACTAGTGATTTGGATGTACTTCTGAAGGTTGACCTAAGGAATGCTTTTAACTCCATTGATAGAACGACTCTGCTGAACGAAGTGGCTAACCATACACCAGAAATATATCACTATGTTTGGCAATGTTACAGTGAAAAGAGTAATTTATTTTATGAAAACCATATTATTGATTCTGCTGTCGGCGTTCAGCAGGGAGATCCGCTAGGACCAGCATTATTTAGTTTGGGAATTAATCCAATTATTTCAAAATTGAAATCTAAACTTAATGTCTGGTACCTAGACGATGGTACTCTGGGAGGTAAAGTTGACGATGTACAAAGTGATCTTATTGAAATTATTAGACAATTTAAAAATATCGGTCTCGATTTAAATAATTCCAAATGCGAACTTTTCTTTTCCGAAAAGATTTCTTTTTCCGACAAAATCATTTTGACCCAAAATTTTAGCTCTATCATACCGGGAATTAACGTAGTCCGTTCAGATTCACTTTGCCTCTTAGGTGCTCCTTTGTTGATACCAAGTTTGGAACCTCGTTTAAAATTAAAGTTAAGTCAATTTTTAGATCATGTCAATAAATTGTTTTTACTAAATTCGCATATTGCGCTTACTATTTTGCGACATTGTATTCTTGTACCTAAATTTACGTACCTCCTTCGCTCGAGTCCAGTTTGGAAATGCGGTGACTTTTTGAACGAAATTGATTTCCATCTTAAATCAGCTCTAGAAAAAATTCTAAATTTATCTCTTAATGAATTAAGCTGGACTCAAGCTACGCTGCCAATTCGTTTTTGGTGGTATCGGTGTAAGGAAAATTTCTAGTGTCGCTCTACCTGCCTTCCTTGCTTCCGTGCATAGCGTAAATAATTTATGTAATAACATTCTTAATCACGATTCAGAACTTTCCTATGCAGAGGAGGCAAGGATGTCTTGGCTGTCTATCTGTCCCAACGAAAATATCCCACTTGAAGTAAACCTACAAAAACAGTGGGATGTTCCTTTGGTGCGGAGAGTACAGAGAGATACGTTTCAATCTTTAGAAAGTAATTTAGAGCGTGCCCGTTTCCTAGGAGTCTCATCTAAAGAATCGAGTTATTGGCTTCACGCTTTACCATCAAGTAACTTGGGCACATTACTTGACGATGAAAGCTTACGCATTGCTGTAGGAATCCGTCTGGGGGCACCGATTTGTCAACCACACCAATGCCCTTGTGGTGTCAGTGTAGACAAATTTGGTCTCCACGGGCTTTCTTGTCAAAAAAGTGCTGGCCGTTTTTCTCGCCACGGTTCCCTGAACGACATCATCCGTAGGGCTCTTGTTTCCATCAATGTTCCATCTATTTTAGAGCCCTGTGGCATTTTACGCGACGATGGTAAGAGACCCGACGGTTTAACATTGTTCCCTTGGGAGAGAGGCAAAGCCCTTGTTTGGGACGCCACTTGTGTAGACACTTTGGCTGCCTCTCATCTAAGGGGTACTTCGGTCAGGGCCGGGGCGGCATCGGAGGCAGCTGAAGTAAGTAAATGGCGCAAATATGAGTCTTTATGTTCAGATTATATATTTGTGCCATTTGCTGTTGAAACATTAGGTCCGTGGGGTCCCCGCACATCAAATTTTTTTAAAAGTTTATGTCCTAGGCTTAACGCCGCGGCTGGTGACAAGAGAGCTGGTTCTTTTCTCGCGCAAAGGTTAAGCATAACTATTCAGCGAGGAAATGCAGCTAGCGTTCTTGGCACCATGCCGCGTGGATTAGGTTTATTAGATAATATGTAATTTTAGATAGATTTAATCTTGTAAATATTAGATCAATAAAGATTGTCTTATTAAAAAAATACTCCATTAGAGTCACTTGACAATTATTGCACAGTCATCCACTTTTTATGGTTTTTTCGTTGAAAAAAGTGCTACTTGCCTTTATGTCATACATATTTTCAGAATTTTTAGTAGAACAACGTTATATAAACGTATATATACACGTTTTTACACATATTATATTGCCCGGGTTGAAGTATTTTACTTCAAGATGATGCTGCGGAGACCAGGAGTGGACATATGTTGTTGTAAGCCCTCTGGATGACTCCTTTCTTGGTTAAGATGTCGGCTACATGGTTGATGTTGTCTCTTCCCGGGTGAACCTTCAAGACTCTGCCGAGAAGCCAAAGCAGTGGTGGTTGGTTTTTGTCTTTGACCAAGACTAATGATCCCTGTTGCAGAACACCTGATGAAGAATTCCATTTTAATTTTTGTTGAAGAAGAGATACATATTCCAAAGAAAAGCGCTGCCAAAAGTGTTGCTTCAATTTTTCAATTTTTTCATATCTTGGAAGACGATCGATTTCCGTATCAATGACCTGAGGATGAGGTACTGATAAAAGTGAGCGCCCGATGAGGAAATGTGCAGGTGTTAATCAGGAGAGGTCGAAAGGATCAGTGGATAGAGGTGTTAAGAGGCCTCTATTTGGACCAGCAAAGTTGTCATCTCCTCATATGTTGGATGCGCTAAAGATAATATACGCCTCAGATGGTACTTCACAGATTTCACTCCAGCTTCCCATAAGCCGCCAAAGTGTGGAGAGTATGGAGGAATATTTTTAAACTCTATTCCTTTGTTGCACAAATCAGTATGGATGTCTTTTGAATACATGTCGAAAAATTTATTAATGTCGTTGCTAGCGCCTACAAACGTCGTGCCGTTATCGGAATATATAGTTCGAGGCTTACCGCGACGTGACATGAATCTATAGAGTGCTGCTAAAAAGGCCTCCTTTGTTAGGTCCGTGACGAGTTCGAGGTGAAGAGCTTTGACTGCGAAACATACAAAAATACATATGTAAGACTTTGTTAGACTTTGTTAGTTTGCCACCCCTGCCTTTACGGTCGATTAACGGCACTGGCCCGGCGTAGTCTATGTCTGTGATGAGGAAATGAAACTCTAGTTGAGTTCGATCACTAGGCAAATCACCCATGATTGGCTGGATAGACTTAGGTTTAAATCGAATACAACGAACGCAGCCACGCACTATACGTCTGGCGAGGTTCCTCCCCCCAAGTGGCCAATACTTTTGTCTTATTTGAGACAACAGTAACTGTGGGCCCGAATGTAACATGTCCTTGTAGTGATACTTGAGGAAGATGATTTTTGTGAGATAATGTTTACTACATAATATAATAGGGTGTTTAATGTCGTAGCTATAGGGTGAATTGTTAAGACGTCCACCAACACGCATAATGTTATTATCATCTATAAATGGCGTTAATGAGGTTAATTTATTACGGTTGTGTAACAACTGTCCCGATTTTATTAATTTATATTCCTCTGGGAACATCTCTTGTTGTGCAATGTATAGTATGTAATTTTCCGAATTTTGAATTTCTGCCAAAGTACGTCGAAATGTTTTCTATCATGATTTTTACAATTGTGAATAAATCTATATATGTAAGCAACTATTCTTATAAGCCTTAGATAATTTGAAACTTTATGAATTAATTTTGAAATTATATTTGTATTTGTATTATTTACTGTTACTAAATTTAATGAAATTTCTGGAAGTGATTTTGAGTTATTGTTTGGGCGTGTTGGAAACTGTATTTCAGTTTTATGTAAGAAACTAGGCCCCGTGATAGCTCAGTGTCCGGGCGCTCGCCTTAATTCAATATACTCGAGCAACCTGAGTTCGATCCCCGGTGCCGGCACCAATGAAGTTTTTAACTTTAAGTGCTGACTTATCACGTGCTCCGCGGTGAAGGAAAACATCGTGAGGAAACCTGCATATTTTCGAAATAACAACAAAAAATATATATATTTCGAATATATGTGAAGTCCGCCAATCCGCAGTTGGGCCGCGTGGTGGACTATGCCCTGATACCCTCTGTATAGAGGAGGCCTTTGCCCAGCAGTGGGACATGTATAGGCTGTTACTTTACTTTAGGCCCCGACCACCAAATGTCTGATTTTACAAGAAACTCAGCTTTCACCCCACGAGAAACTAGGTCCTCACATCCGAAAATGTGTGAATTTCGAGTGTTGCAGATGTGTCTAATGAAAACCAGCGTGGAATACTTAACGTCTTTAAAGATTCAAAGGATTTAATAATACTAAAGAAACTAGTTTTTATTGTCAATGACACTTCATCGTCCCAACCACGCTTATCCGACCAAAGTTCCTGTATAAGAATTTTCGCTTCAACTGTACATGGACCCAAAAGCCCTGATGGGTCGAAGACTTGACTTATAAGTGATAAAATTTTACGCATAGTTATTTTTTTTTGAGTCTAAATTTAAATTAATTGAAAATAATAGAGTATCTGCCCTTGGGTCCCAATGTAATCCAAGAGTTTTACAAGGAAGAGTTTCAATTAAGCTTAACGGCTTTTCTACGTTGTTCTCGTGAGAATTTGCTACTAAAGAATTTAATATTTCTATGTTATTAGAGCGCCATTTTCGAAGGTTAAATTTTGCCGATTGCAAAGTAGTAATAACGTTTTGACATAGGCCTATTACATAAGCAATGGTATTGCCACCGCTAAGAAAATCGTCGACATAAAAGTCTTTACGAATGGCGTCCTTAACTTCGGACTTTGAACATTGGTCTGCAAGAGTGACAAGACGTTTTGTTGCCAAGCATGGCGCCGATGCCGTGCCATATGTCACCGTATTAAGACTGTACGTTTTAATCTGTTCAGAATGATTGAACCTAAATAATATTTGTTGCAAAGGTCGTTGTGATGGATCTACGAGAATCGCTCGGTACATTCTCTATATCTCCGGATATAACGTATTTGTGTTGTCTAAACCTTAATAAAATTGACAATAAGTCGTCTTGTACTACCGGTCCTACCATCTGAATATTATTCAATGACTTGCCTGACGTTGTAACCGCTGAACCGTCAAAGACAACTCGTAACTTAGTACTTGTACTCGATTCACGAATAACTCCGTGATGAGGTAAATAATAATTACATTTATTCTGAGTATGAGGTGCTAAGTTTTCACTCATATGGCCTAGGTTAAGATATTCTGACATGAATTCTAGATATCTATCTTTCAAAAGATGTTCATTTTTTAACCTACGTTCTAGAGATATGAACCTACGCTTTGCTAGATTGTAGGAGTCACCGAGAACTTCGGGGGAGTCTTTTAGAGGAATAGTGACGATGAATCTACCTTGATCATCACGCCTCGTATGTTCTGCAAAACTGCTTTCACAAGCTCTTTCCTCGATAGATAAGCTATAATTATGCGATACAGAATCAAGTTCCCAAAACCGTGTAAGTTGTGACTCATCATTTTGAATGAACAGGCAAGACTGCGCGGACTTTAATTTTTTACGATATATCGTGCCTGATATTATCCAACCGAACTTTGTCAGTTGCAACTTAGGATGTTGCTTACCTAAGTTAATTGATGTAGAACCTAAGACGTCCCAAAATATTTCCGCTCCGAGTAATATGTCAACAGCGGACGGAATATTAAATGAAGGATCCGCTAACTCAATGTTTGAAGGTAGCGGTATGCTTCGAATGTCGATATACGACGAAGGCAAAACATTGGTTATGTTTGGTAATACGTAACAATTTAAGTCAACTGTGTAGTCTCCCGAGTTCGACTTGATAGTAAGGTTACAAGACTCTGCACTGAAGGAATGTTGATTATTGATACCTGTTGTAGTAGAGTTAGTACTACGTCTTACCAGACCTAGTTTCTCACAGAGGTGTTGTGTGACGAAGTGTGAAGTGCTGCCGTTGTCGAGTATGACGCGAGCCGTGCGAAGTCTCCCCTGTGCGTCAACCACTTTCACCAACGCTGTGGAAAGTAATATGTAGGGTCTGTTAAAGGTTTGAATATCGGTAGACAAAACAACAGTTGTTGGAGTGTCCGTATCTTCATGTAAGAGCGTATTGTGTTTATGTTTACAATACTTGCAGTGTGTTAAGCTGCATTGTTTTTCTTTATGGCCAGGCCGCAAACAGTTTTTGCAAATATTAAAGTTTGTGATTTTTAGTAGACGTGATTTTACATCTAAATTTCAGAAGTCGTGACAATTAAATAAGAAATGGTTCTGTTTGCACATTGGACATAGCACAGGTTTGTCTGTATGTTTAGATGTGTTGTGATTAAAATGTTTTGTTTTGTTTACGTCTGAATGTGAATACTGTTTTGTTTGTGCATTATTTTTTTGTATTTGATCTTACTGTAAGGTATCTAATAAATCAGCGTGACTAGTTAAAAACTCAAGAAATTGTTTTAAAGTAGGTGACCCTGTATTACGACGTTCTTCCCATTGACGGAAGGTAACACTATCTAATTTTTTAGACATAATGTAAATTATAAGCGTGTCCCAGTGTTCTGTAGGCTGTCCTAGTGTGCTAAGGGCACAGAGATTTTTATTAGCGACGTCAACAATGTTCCTTAAAGCATAACTTGACTCCTTTTGAGCTGGTTCAAAATTAAATAAAGCATTTAAGTGGTTATTAATTAGTAAACGTTCATTGTCATATCTGTTTGATAATAATTGCCATGCAATATTGTAGTTATTTGCACTCAACTCTAGACTTTGTATTATCACTGATGCACTACCTTTTAATGCTGCACGAAGGTAGTGGAATTTATTGATGTCACTAATATTTTTATTTAAATGTATGAGTGATATATACGTATCTCTAAATTCAAGCCAGTGCTGGAAATCGCCGCTAAAGCTCGCTAGATTGATTTTGGGTAGTCTCACAAAATCATGACCCGTCCCAATTCTGCTCTCGTGACTCGAAGTGGACACGGGCGATGGTGAACGTCGACGACGAATCGGCTCAAGCAGCGTACACGCCGTTGCCACCAGTGAGAAATATTTGGAGTCGAATTGTTCTCGCTCCGCGTATAACTCAGGAGTATCTTCCGATAACGACTCGAACTCTGTCTGCAACTTATCAAAATCACTGTGTAACGGTTCTATTTTGTAATAAATAATATGTGTAAAAACGTAAAATGTAATAACGTAACTAATATGTGTAAAAACGTGGACATATATACGTCATTATTACACATGAAACACCTCTTTATTTCCTAAATTTATGTAATCATTTATTCAAAAAGTATACTGTTTGTTAATATACCTAATCATATTACAAACCTCAAAAATTGTAGAAGCAACTGCTGCGTATAAGAAAACTATAACCGTAATAAAAAAATAATAATTTGAATCGGCCGTTCTGAACAATTACAATTTTACACGTTGTTATACGCAGGTAACTTCTTCCCAATATATCACCAATTATTTGGTAAATTACACAGCACCAGTTGATATTGTCAGCCGACACTCGTGAGGAACCTAAGTCCCCTCTTTTGTATTACATATATGTATAAAACTAGCAACCCACCCCGGCTTCGCGCTGGTGCAATGTATTATACATATAAACCTTTCTCTTGAATTACTGTAGTAAAAAACCGCATCATTATCCGTTCCGTAGTTTTAAAGATGTAAGCATAGATAAGGATAGACAGACAGCGGGACGACTTGGTTTTAATCTTAATGTCTTAGGATACATTTTTATAAAATAAAATAAAAACACATATTTTATGGAAATAAAAATGTTTTATTCATGTTTTGATATAAAATACAAATTCAAAAATAAATGACATGAACTTAAAAAATTGATAAATAAAACAAAACATCTTTTCAACAAAAAAAAAAAACAAGTTAAAAAAAAGGAAAAAAATATAAGTACACAAAGTTACAAATATAAAAATTATTAATAAAGAAACAAAAAAGACATAGAAACGTTTGAGGGAAAAAAATGTTAAGTGCATATGTAATAAGGAATGAATTGTGCTGTGAGTTTATATCAAAAATGGTCTCCACTCAGCTAAAAATACGGAGAGTTCCGCAATGCTGGTATTCTGTGGAGCCATTTCGATGCGAGAAATGTGCGGGTAAATGCGTAAAGTTGTGAACATATTACCAGAATAAAATAAAAAAATAAAACTGAAATAAAAAAATAAAAAAAAATAATAATAAAAATAAATTGTGCAACACTGTAAGAATTTCTGGAAAATATTGGACCAACGAAAATAAAACAATGCAAGTAAAAAATATTTGCAATAATATTAATTAAAAAAACAAAAGACAAACAAAAGGATATTAACTATACATAAATCCAACTATATTAGTGCCACGGGGGCTATTAGGTACGCATTAGACATTTTGCATTAAGTATGTTGGCAATACTCGTCTAGAAGCTGGTAAGCATTTTTGGAAAGACAAAAGATGTTGTTTCAATTTGAATTTAAAATTACTTAAAGGTTATGATTTATAAAGATATTGTGTGAATTGTCCAATATATAGGTATAAAATTCAGCGGCCACGCGGGCGAATCCACGGTGAGCAGCTAGTGTGTTAATTGTATTATAATAGTGTTCGCTATTGCTCGAATATGCAGTAAAGTGGAAGTGTTATTCTTCCGCGTTTCGTCTGGTGAGTGAGGTAGCCGGCGCCCACTTCATAAAAATGTGGCAACGCATCTGCAACCCTACGGGTGTTGCAAATGTCCATGGGCCGCAGTTATTAAAAGCGAGCGCCCGGACAATGAGCTATCACGATTGTAAACAGAACAGTTAAACAGTTTAGGTATTCTTTATAAAGAAGCCGACTCCAAAAATCCTTTAATTTGTTGGCAACACAAGTAGCATTATAAGTTAAGCATTTCATGGATGTCGCTATCGCGTATACTTCTTGTATACGGGATAGTGCTGCCTAATCGGTATGACAAATTAAATCGTTAGGGTTGTGCTTCTTTAGCTTAAAAGTGAAAATAAGTAATTATACCAGTGTTATTGTTGTACATTATGTTCAATAAAAGTATTTATATCTCTTGCTTAGCAAAGAAAGCTTGTGACATTTTATATTGATAGTCGGGGAGCCGTCGGATGTGAAGCCGCTCTGGTTGCATAAAAGTTGATCGTCCACGTGACGAATTTTAAACTGGTTCTCTCCCCAGAACGGTATATCAAATTCGACGACGGCGACATTCTTTCCACCCACGTGTATTTCGAATTGTTCTTCGGCACCCGAAGGACTGTTATCGCGCCCTGACGCCCTGAAATTCGCCTCTTGAACATTATTGAATTCAATGTTGTTGACCGTAGTCACATCTTGACCGTCCTGTTGCCACTTGCCCCAGGACAGCGCTGCGTTCTAGATCACGCCGTCTTCTTTGATACTTTTCCCGTTCTTGACAATAAAATTTGCAAAATTGCCCGCGCCGTACGGTATCAGGCTCACTCCACTTGATGCCACGCATTTAAGGACTGACTTGACGGTGATATCTTGGGACATGACCAAATTGATGAGACACAGTATTATTTTGTTCGTTACATCTGGGCCCAATTTTGCAGATACTTCTTGCAGCTGGCTCTAGCTCGTTAAGAGGTAAACTAATTATTATATCCTATTAACATTAAGGTACTGCTACTAGGTTTTTATTTTTTTTATGTGAAAAGTTGCGAAGCGAGCAGACGGTTCACTTGATGTAAAGTGAATACCGCCGCCCATGGGCATCTGCTACTCCCAAGGGTTGCAGATGCGTTGACAACATTTTGAAAATTGGGCTACGGCTACCTCATTCACCAAAAGAAACGCGATAGTATTATACTTCCACATAACGCCGGTCTTCTGTCGTGGTACTTACCCGGACGAGCCTGCCCATTCATGCAACAGCCGAGGCTACTGCGTGGCACTACCACAGTAGGTACCCAATTTTTTTACTAATATGTCTTCTAAAATGTTCACGAGATGGGGCTTTTAAGTTGTAATGAAATACATAAAATGTGGCGTTATCCACATTTTATGTATTTCATTTGTGTTTGGCCTTTTTTTTAGTTAGGTTCCTTAATAAGAACAAGTGTAATTGTCTTTGGTCATATTCTACAAAGGTTCAAATACAAGTAATTATAGGGGCCTGCTTTTTTCTCTATGCACCCTTGTCCAATTCGCTACACAACTGACAAACACATTTCTATTTCTGTTTAAATTTATTGCACGTATTTCCCGTCATACGTAAGGTCGGCGTTCCGTCAATATCACTACATCAATTGGAATTTTTCTTGCGCAAACTTAATGAGGAAATCCGAATACAAGGAACGAATCATTCTTCGTATTAGAATATGTAGTTTCTGCGTCTGTCTTTATTTTTCAACAAAAGTAAATAAAGTCAACTGTACTAAGGCCACGCAGCAGCCTCGGCTGTTGGCAAGAGCAGGCTCGTCCGGGAAAGTACCACGACGTTGTAGAAGACGTGAATTGAAAGTATAATATTTTCGCGTTTCATCTGGTGAGTTAGGCAGCCGGAGCCTAATTTCCAAAAGGTTGTCAACGCATCTGTAACCCTCGGGAGTAGCAGATGTCCATTGGCGGCGGTATTCACTTAATATCAGGTGAACCGCCTGCTCGCTTGGCAACTTTCATATTAAAAAAAAGTTATGCTTTCACTTAGAAAAATATTATCGTTTCATTTAATACCAAACTCGTATTTTCTGAGTTGGAAATTAAGCTAATAGAGTCACGTTAGATGCCTGCGTGCCGGTAGATATGAATAATAAATTGCAAATGCGTTACTACATTTTAATAAGGTGAGCCCCGGTAACCTAATTGACTAGTTAATAAGATGTGATAAATAGCTTTCCGCTTTGTTTGTACATTTATTAGATTTATCTAACATAACATCTTCTATAGCATGATATTTCTGAAATCTTCTGCGGCTGCTGAAACACTTTAGTTTTATTTTTTTGCGGATGTTTTACAGGGATAGAATCCCTTGGGGAGGCAGGGGTGAAATGTAAAGTTGTGATAGTTGTATACATAATTTTCGGTAAGAGAGCGAAAACTATAATAGAACGAGACTATTCATTAAATCCCCATTCGTCATGTACGATACATTGATTAGTACATTGTGTGACATCACATCACACGTGTATTTCTTTATTAAACTGGAAATCATTATCTGGACAGCGAGATAAGCGAACAAGGGGTAATTTTTCCTCATAATATAAGTTTGTTTACGTTTATCTTTCCAGATTTATGTCTTGGTTTTTCAGACGAACGAGGTTAAAATGCACTTCGCGATAGGCGGAACTATATAAAGGTACAGTCTCGGATCTGTGAGTATCCAGTCTAGTGCAAGCGTTTATCATGAAGACCACATCTATAATCCGATTCGCGGCGTTGTCAGTGGTGCTGCTAGCCTCGGTGAAGGTGTCCTGCCAACAACCGAGCAAGAGCCAGTTGCAAGAAGTATCTGCAAAATTGGGCCCAGATGTAACGAACAAAATTATACTGTGTCTCATGAATTTGGTCATGTCGCAAGATATCACCGTCAAGTCGGTCCTGAAATGCGTGGCATCAAGTGGAGTGAGGCCCATACCGTACGGCGCGGGCAATTTTGCAAATTTCATAGTCAAGAACGGGAAAAGTATCAAAGAAGACGGCGTGATCCAGAACGCAGCGCTGTCCTGGGGCAAGTGGCAACAGGACGGTCAAGATGTGACCACGGTCAACAACATTGAATTCAATAACGTTCAAGAGGCGAATTTCAGGGCGTCGGGGCGCGATAACAGCCCTTCGGGCGCCGAAGGACAATTCGAAATACACGTGGGTGGAAAGAATGTCGCCGTCGTTGAATTCGACATACCGTTCTGGGGAGAGAACCATTTTAAAATTCGTCACGTGGACGATCAATTTTTGTGCAACCAGAGCGGCTTCACATCCGACGGCTCCCCGACGATCAATATAAAATGCCATAAGCTTGCCTCTCGACTTAAACTCTAAATAACACCAATCTTTCTGTAAAGTTCAATGTTTCATTTACATTGTGTGTAACTTGTAATTTTCAATAAATTTTGCATATTTCTAACGTTCTCTTCCTTCTGTTCTCTATGTTTTACTAATTAACACCAAATGCCGATCGGTATCTATATACTTTTCACTAAAAAGTTAGTGTTGACGTCCACAGTTGTTGCGGATAATCGCGACATAGCTTTGGCTCTAATGTCCTTCTCTGCAATGCTAGGGGTCCCTCAGGCAATGGCGTATTTTAAGGTTCAGCGCCAGGGTCTTTACCTTGGGTTTGGCACCTTAACAGAAAAAGAGTAAAAGATAAAATCATAAAATAAAATCCAGTCATGTGTTGATGAAATAAAAAATAAAAGGAAAAAAAAAAAATAAAAAATAAAAGGCCGTTCAAAGAATCATTTCTTTTATTCACACTATTTATTCACATTGGTTAGTGAAATCGTCAATGATACTTTCATAATTAAAAGATTTTTTGGACTTAGCTTCTTTATTAGCCGACTACAAAAAAGGAGGAGGTTTCTCAATTCGACCGTATATATATATTTTTTTTATGTGTTTTCGCGGATAACTTCGACGTTTATGAGCCGATTTTGATGATTCTTTTTTTATCGGAAAGGAGATGTCCCAAGGGTGGTACCATGATAAAGAAGTCCGGATCTGATGATGGCATCCCAGAGAAATCGAGGGCCATCATCGAATCCTATAGGTATTAACAATGTTTTTAATTTTCTGATTGAAGTCGGTTTTCTTTTGTTAAAAATTATACTTGTATAAATTGAAAAACTATACTATAAAATATAGTAGTGCGTTGTAAAATATAGTAGTAGTATATAAAACATAATAATGGTTCCGTAACATTTTACAAGTTTTGTGAACACAGATTGACTAGTGAGGATTTTTTAAATATCTAAACAGAATATTTCAAAAAATCTCACCTTCATATATTCCTTACCTGGGAGATAATAAATTGCGGAGAAAATTGAGTAATTTCTCAGCGAAATTTCGGGTTCGCGAAGAATATAAGTCTGGCGGAATAAGTCTTACTGTTTTCCTTGTTGTGAATAAAATCGCATCGCGAACAAGCACAATGCGTAGTCACTTAGCAGCGCTGTAGCGAGAATTATTAAGAATAGCTAAACTGTTTAACTGTTCTGTTTAGAGCCGTGATAGCTCATTGTCCGGGCGCTTGCTTTTATTTCGGTGTATGAACTCGAGCAACCTGAATTCGATCGCCGGTGCCGGCACCAATGAAATCGCTATTTTCAAGCGCTGACTTATCACGTGCTCAGCTATGAAGGAAAACGTCGTTTTTTTTTTAACTGATGTTTGTGCTTTCAGTCCCGAGACTATTAAAGCTTCATCTGACGTCGTGCGGAGAGCAGATAGTTCAATAACCACTACGCCAATCGGGTCGGTTAAAAAGGGACGTTGGGTTAAACCGGCCCTTCCTGTTACTCTGATAGCACACAGCAGCTATGCTCTAGCACCAATAGACAGGCTCCGAGGTAGGGCCATGACCTCACAGAAGACCGATGTAAAGTGGAAGTATAATACTTTCGCGTTTCGTCTGGTGTTGAGGTGGCCGGAGCCCAATTTTCAAAAGGTTCTCAATGCATCTGCAACCCTCGGGTGTAGCAGATGTCTATGGGCGGCGGTATTCACTTAACATCAGGTTAAGTGCTCGCTTGGCAACTAATTGACAAAAAAAAATGCTGTAGCCACTAATCTAAGCGGTGCAAATCCCTGCGATATTATCGACGTGTTACGTACTTTGTTTTTATTGCATTTTAGCAATGCTTCGCATTTCCTAAAGTTTTTAATCGAAAAGCGCATGAGGCTCACATGATGGATAGTGATAGTTTCCGACATTTACAACTCTACGAAATTTCATGTTTTACAATGAAACTTTGAAAATTAGATCTTTTGCCATTGAAATTTATTTTTTAATTATTTTGTTCAGGTATCTGCTTTTAATATTACATTTAACATCATATGAACCACCAGCTCGCGGACTACTTTATTAGGGATATCTGCGTATAACCCCAACCATGTATGTAGTCATAGTTGGGGTTAGACGCAGAGGTTTAACACTTCCCCTTCATACCGGACTTCTGTGGGGAATAACAAGGTACCAAGCCAACAAGGTACATACAATGTAATTGTCAATTGTCTATCATTGTAAATTGCACACCACAAACACAAAGACTATTATTTTAATTTATTTAAAATGTCTATCAACAATCGTTTACACTGGACACTTCTTAAAGCTAACAGTAAATAACTTAAGACTAAACATATTAGTGTAACAATTCCTTGAAGATGAACACCAAATGCACAAATGAAACTATTAAATTAAACCAACAAATAAAAAACAAAGCAGTCAGTCAAAAATAACTTTCTAGAGGTTAATAATATTATTTTTGACTAATTAGAAGAAGCTTTACATGATTGTTGTAAAACTGGTGTTATTTAGACTTGATTTCAACTGGAACCGTGATAGCTCAGTGTCCGGGCGCTCGCCTTTTATTCAATATACTCGAGCAACCTGAGTTCGATCCCCGGTGCCCGCACCAATGAAGTTTTTAACTTTAAGTGCTGACTTATCACGTGTTCCGCGGTGAAGGAAATCGTCGTGATGAAACCTGCATATTTTCGAATTAATAACAAAAAAAAAATTTCGAAGATATGTGAAGTCCGCCAATCCGCAGTGGGACCGCGTGGTGGACTATGCCCTGGTACCCTCTGTATAGAAGAGGCCTTATGATATGTATGATACGAACATGTATGTACAAAGGTTAGGTAAGGTATAGGCTGTTACTTTACTTGACTTTTTTTTTTCAACTGGAGATCTTAAAACAATTTATATTGATAGTCGGGGAGCGGTCGGTTGTGAAGCCGCTCTGGTTGCACACAAATCGTTCGTCGAATTTACGAATGCTTAGCTCGTTATCACCCCAGTACGGTATATTGAATTCGACGACGGCGATCTTCTTCCCGCCCACGTGTATTTCGAATGTACCCTCGGCGCCAGAGGGACTGCCGTCGCGCCCCGACGCCTTGAACTTAGCCGCTTGAGCTCTGTTGAATACAATGTGATTGACTGTGGTCACATCTTCCTCATCCTGCTGCCACTTGCCCCACGACAGCGCTGCGTTCATGATTAAACCGTCTTCGCTAACGCTGTTTCCGTACTTGACTATGAAATTTGCATAATGGCCTTTGGGTTTGCGTATAGGTAGAAAACTTGATGTCACGCAGTTCAACATCACGGACAACACCGTGAATCGGATTACAGATGTGGTCTTCATGACGCTTTTACTAGACTGAACAGTCGCAGATCCGTGACCGTACCTTTATATAATTCCGCCTATCGTGTAGTGTATTTTGACCTCATCAAGTAACATTACAATGATAGATAGCAATAATCATTGCATTATTAAAAGAATAACATGATTTAATTTTATACTTGTGCAGCCCCTTATCTCGCTGGCAACTTAATTTATATACAAATTTATCGTCTTTGATGGCCGGCAGTAGTGGATCCGCAGTCTTGGCCAGCCGCCAACTTCAGCAACCATCACATATTACACATGAAACCTCTTATTTCCTAAATGTATGTACTTATTAATTCAAAAAGTATACTGTTTGATAATATACCTAATTATATCACAAACCTCAAAAATTGTAATAGCAACTGCTATGTATAAGAAAACTACAACCAAAATAAAAAAATAATAATTTGAATCAGCCGTCCTGAACAATTACAATTTTGCAGATGTCACGTTGTTCTACGCAGGGTGCGATTTGCGTGAAGGTAACAAACATGCATCCATACACACAAACTTTAGCCTTTATAATATTAGTAAGGATTTGTATTATGCAAATTGATACAATTGTAGGTCACTAATCTATACTTATTTATTACTTGTGCTTCGGAAATCTTCGGCAATCATAGTAATTTTTCGTAAATCGTTTTAATTTATTCCCTAAATAACTTATTGATAACCTCTTGACTGACTGTTGCGATAAAATATTCGCGTCGATTTATCGCCAACGTGAGAAACCCACTTGCTAATTTTGGATCATCTTGGAAATTCCGCAAACATCTGGTGGGATATAGTGTTGTAATAATGTCTTGGGTCGATGCCCTGCTAGGCATGTGCTCTCATCAAAATAAATAATTAATGTCTTGAAATGTTGTAAGCAGTGCTTCATCTAGAATTGTTTTAAGGGTTCCGTACCCAAAGGGTTCCGTACCCAAAGGGACCCTATTACTAAGACTCCACTGTCTGTCTGTCTGCCTATCCGTCTGTCACCAGGATTCTGGCGTATTTCCTGATCTCATGAAACACAGTAAAGTCATACCTGTATTTAAATCCGGTAGTACTTCCGACCCCACTAATTTTAGACCCATTTCTATACTACCAACACTTAGTAAAATTTTCGAAAAACTTCTTCTAGATCAGCTGTTAACACATTTTAACTTAAATAAATTATTACATCACAACCAGTTTGGTTTTACAAGGGGTCGTTCTACAACCGATGCTGGTGTAGAGCTGATCAAACATATATTTGAGGCTTGGGAGAGTTCACAGGATGCTCTGGGTGTCTTTTGTGATCTTTCCAAGGCTTTCGATTACGTGAATCATGAAACACTGATCAGGAAATTGCGCCATTATGGCATTAAAAGTACCGCGCTTGACCTCATTAAGTCATATCTATCTAATAGAATTCAAAAAGTTGTAATTAATGGTGCTAGTTCTTCTGGGTCGACGGTATCTATGGGCGTTCCACAGGGCTCGATTCTCGGCCCATTTCTCTTTCTCGTTTACATTAATGATCTTCCTTACTTTGTAGGGAGTAAACACGTTATAGTGTTATTTGCCGATGATACATCATTAATTTTTAAAATAGATCGACAGCTTGGTATACTTGATGAGGTAAATAATGCTATGTCAGAAATAGTCTATTGGTTTAATACTAACAATTTACTACTAAATGGTAATAAAACTAAATGTATGAAATTTTCAACACCTAATGTTAAACATTTGGGTGCTACCAATGTACTTATAAATGGGGGGGAGTTAGGCCTTGTGGATACGACTGTCTTTCTTGGAATAACACTCGATGCAAAGCTTCAATGGGGTCCCCATATATCAATACTTGCGAATAGACTAAGTTCTGCAGCGTATGCTATAAGGAAAATAAGATGTCTAACTGATGTAAAAACGGCTAGAATTGTGTATTTTAGTTACTTCCATAGCATAATGTCATATGGTATTTTGCTATGGGGGCACGCGGCCAATATAGAAACAATTTTTATTTTGCAAAAAAGGGCCATAAGAGCTATTTATAATCTAGATTTGAATGCATCTTTGAGAGAGAAGTTTAAAGAAATAAATATATTAACCTTAGCCTCTCAATATCTATATGAAAATGTTATGTATGTGCGTAGAAATATTAATAATTTTGATAAGAATACTGATATACATAATGTGAAAACTAGGAACAAACACAAGCTTATAATGCCAGTTACTAGACTCCATAGAGTCAGTAACTCGATTATGGGGCGGTGTATACGCTTTTACAACAAAATCCCAGTAAATGCGCAAAACCTGCCTATTAACAGGTTTAAGAAATTTATTAAAGAAAAACTTTATAAAAAAGGTTATTATAATACAAATGAATACATTAATAACAATTAACCCCTGGGAATGAGTTGATCGCTCCCAAGCTATTTCTAAAAGGAAAAAAATCAGTTGTATAATATTTGAATTTTTTGCTAAGAAAAAAAAATGAATTACAAAAAAGAGGATACCTATAGAGTTTCTTTCGCCTGTTTCTTCTCCGCTAGAGGAACCTCATTACGAAACGGTGGTAGATTAAAAAAAATATGACTATTGATAAATGAAATGTAAGTTTCTTATGCCGATGAATAAATGATTTTGATTTTGATTTTGATTCTCATGAACCGTGATAGTTAGACAGTTGACATTTTCACAGATGATGTATTTTTGTCGTCGCTTTAACAATAAAAAACAGTTAAATATGTAGAAAAAGTGCGAAAAGATTGTCGCCGCTGTGGGAATCGAACCCACGTCTTCGGCATTCGCGGCCTGACGCTCTAGCCACTGAGCTAAACAATGTAGAAGAATGCGTTAAGATTTTCGTCGGTGATTTCAGTGGCTAGAGCGTCAGGCCGCGAATGCCGAAGACGTGGGTTCGATTCCCACAGCGGCGACAATCTTTTCGCACTTTTTCTACATATTTAAATGTTCAATCTTAAGTGCAAAGATTAGCACTATAAACAATTTAAATTTCTAATAAAAAACAGAATAATAAAATATTTAAGTGGTGCTCCGATACAACAGACATGATTTTTCTGCCGTTTTTATAAAAAATACTACGGAACTCTTTGTGCGCGAGTCCGAATTGTACTTGGCCGGTTTTTAAAATAAATGTAGATGCGCGCAATTAACGAAAATTGTATTGCGTAGTGTGTAATTAAAATGTAGGATTTATTGAATTGTGTTATTATGTTCGGGTTAATACATAATAAAAAATTACATACAGTGTAATTGACACGTTTCAGTGCACGCACACAAAAAATAATTTTTATTTATTCATTTAAAAAAATTTATCAACTATTATTTACACTGGATATTTCTTATGAGACATATAGGTATTACTGTTATAATTACTTCAAGGTTAACACCGCATGCTACACACAGATAAAAGTATTAAATTAAATCGACAAATAAATTAAATCACTTAGAGATAGCTATTCGCGGTCTTTCAACATAGTAACTTTCTTGAGTATAAGTTACATTTTTTTTACGATTGATACCATGTGGACATCATTTCAACTGGAAATCTTACGACACTTAATAATGATAGTCGGGGAGCGGTCGGTCGTGAAGCCCCTCTGCTTGCACACATATTGGCCGTCCACCTCGCGAATGCTAAACTCGTTTTTACCCCAGAACGGTATATTGAATTCGACGACGGCGATCTTTTTTCCGCCCTCGTGTATTTCGAAAGTACCCTCCGCGCCGGTGGGGCTGCCATCGCGGCCCGATGCCGTGAAGTTCGCCGCTCGACCACTATCGAAGCCGATGTGGTTGATTGTGGTCACATCCTCTTCATCCTGCTGCCACTTGCCCCAGGACAGCACTGCGTTCATTATTAAACCGTTGTCGCTGACGCTTTTCTCGTTCATCACTGTGAAATTTGCAAAAGTGCCTTTGGGCTTGCGTTGAAGTACTCTCGATGCAGCACGGCCCAGCATCATCGACAACAACACCGTTAATTGGATCATAGATGCGGTCTTCATGTTACACGCTTTTACTAGACTGAACAGTAACAAGATCCGAGACAGTACCTTTATATGATTCCGCCTATCGCGCAGTGTATTTGACCTTGTTCATTTGGTATGAAAAATACGTAAATCTGGAAACATTACAGCGAAAGATAACAGTAAACCAAAGCTTATATTATAAAAAAAATAACGTAATTTAATTTCACCCTTGTACAGCCGCTTATCTCGCTGTCCAGATAATGAAAGATGCAAAACAACTAATAAAACAAAAATAAAACAAATGACAAAAACTATGTCTGTGCAACAGATCCTCATCTTGAAATATACACAACACGCTGCATTTACTTCACTTTGGTCCGTGAATATACGTGAAACTGCCACAGGGCTGGGAAGGAAAATCATTTAAGTAAATGACAACGAAAACAATTACAAAAACTATGAATATGACAATTACAGTGAGAGTTCTTCTTCTTCTATTATTAATGGCTTGCTTTGGCAGTGAGAGTCATAGTGACTATAACGGTGACAGTGACGGTGACAATAACAGCGACAGTGACGGTGACATTAACAGTGACAGTGACAATGGCAATATCAATAATATAATGGGGATCAGCGGCGAAATCAAAGTTAAAAAGTAACCCAAAATTAAAGCACAAAATAATTCTTACCTTTTTTAATTTTTTTAATAAAATAAAAAAATTATTACCTACTGAAGAAATATGTAAAGGAAATAAATTGATGAATCTAGGTCAAATTTATTGATATTTCACGTGTAATATAAAGAAAATTGAAACTGAAAACTCGCAAATTAAGCGAAACTATAAAACGTAAGCATTACACCAAACGATTTACACGACAATCAAGTAACCTGTAGTTAAGAACGTCCCGAACAAATTACAGAAAAAGGGGCATTTTATGTAAATGCGCTAAATACTATAATGTTTAGTAAATTACTATGAAAAAAAAAATCCTGATCAGTTTTAAAATTACTTAAAAAGTTATATTTTAAAGGTGATAATCATAGTGAAATACGCTAAGATGCCAACCACCACTAGCACTTCGATGATATGTCTACCAATAAGACACATAAGTTCAGGATTCTAACGTTTAACGTGGTCTATACGGTACGGAAGGTACCGTTCAACTCTGTATTAATCATTAACAAGTCCCAATCCATCATTAAATTATTATTTTTTTCTTAGAGCTTTAACATAATTATTATTGTTTTATTTAATAGGTCTTCCTTTCATACGACCTTAGAAGGAGACATTCATATAGTAAATTGACACTTCGATACTAGAGGTGGAGTCTGGATCGACCTCTGTACTTATATATTTAGAATTACACAAATGTCTCCGCGCTCCATAGTTCAATTATTGACCTGATCTGATCTTCATCATTTTTGCATAGAGCTTCTATAGATAATGAAAATTGTCTCACTCTCTATTCATCTCTGTATATATATGTTATATATATATAGTCCTTTTCCATAACTTGTTTGATCCAGCAAAATTAAAAGAGTACTTTGTTGATCCGCCTTTCTGTCCAAATTTACTTGCTCTTAACCTTTATTTTAAAGGCCGGAAAGCATATATTTGAACAGAGCATTGTGTCGCTTAGACATATTTCTAAATTCAGCAATATACTCTAACCGTTGTTTTATACTTTTCCAAAGTATTTGTGGCTCCGCGTTACGGTTTTTTCTCAGGCACTTTTTAAACATTTCTTGATCCCTGTGCGCATACACAGCTCGACGTCAGTGTTCGTAAAATTAATTCCACAGTGTTCGTAATAAGAACTGAATTTCCATGTACTTTTTCTATTGAGTAAACTGTTACTAGATGTCGAATATAATAACCTAGATAAATACGATTGACAAAGGAGATGGTTATACCCTATTTCTTATTAATTAGTTTACCATAGGATGCTAGCGAATAAATAATTTAATATTGTAGATATTATCGCTTGATATTAATGAATCCTTGGGACATTATCAAAATACCTACTTACTATAAAGTGTATAACTATACATATACTGTTGTTATGCTTGTTAGCACATGCAACCTGTATTAATTCGATTGAGGTGAAGCCCAAAATGCTGTACTCCTAAGTAGGCATCCAAATATTATCCCGAGTTGATTTAAACAACTTGCGCGGCGGCGAACTATGAGCTCAAAGAATGTCATATATATAATAAAAATTTTACTGATTGTTGTTTGTACATGGAAGATATATGAGAAAAACTATTATTAGGGGCCTTTATCAACGCAGTAGAACCCAAAACAATGATAGTTAAAATTATTGTCTGTTTATCTGTTTGTCTGTGTGCGCTAACTTAGCTAAAATGGCCTTTCCGACTTCAGTGCAAATTTTACAAATGCATTGTAGTAAGCTTCTCTTAACATGTATTGTTAGTTTTATTTAAGTCGGATGATAAATAAAATAGTTATTTCAACTTAAAGAACCACATTGTAGATTTGTGCAATGAAACTATAATTAACTATGGTGTGGAAAATTATGGTTTATATAAAGTTAAAAAAAAATCGTGCGAGTTGGAGTTGCGCACGAAGGGTTCCGTAGGTATTTTTAAGCACGATATAATGTGCGGGCGAAGCCGCGGGCGCAAGCTAGTTGTACAATATATTGCTACTATTGCACTAGGAAACGAATCAACAACGGTATCTTGTATCTTGTATTAACTGATGTTTTTGCTTTCAGTTCCGAGACTATTAAAGCTTCATCTGACGCAGAACCGGTGGGCTAGCCAGAACCCACGGGTTTGGGCCCTCCGCTGTGGGTAGGGCCGCGCATGTGCTCATGCGTGCGTTTAACTACGACATGTCATCTAAGGGCCATCGAAGTTGCGGTGCGGACCGAGACCCCGATGGCCGTCGACTGTGTTTTTAGCTAATCGGTGGCTGGGGGCGGTGAGAACCGCCCTGGAACGCGGGTGTACCTTGTGTACGCGTTGTGTTGGTCTCGCCGTGCTCGGAGGCGAGGGCGAACTAGTGTGTTTGTTGTTGCACTAACTGTGGGTGTAGTGTTGTCCGGCGGGACCCCCGGCGGTGGGTCCGGCGTATCTAAGTCCCCTTCCTCGACCGGGTCGATGAGGACGTTTCGCGGGCGACGCTTGTTGACGTTCGCGTTTGTGTCGGTTTGGTAATTTGCTGCGCTTACCACCAGAGGGTTGGGATGATGTTCGGCTCTATCGAAGAACCGTTTTGTCAGATCTTTGAAATATTCGCGAATCGTCGGGAGTCTGCAATCGCTGTGCAGATCGACTTTGCGTTGATACCACTGCGCACCGGTTGCACGGCGGATGAACTTATTTTGTACTATTTGCAGCTTGTACAAGCGAGTAGGTTGCGTGTGGGCGAAGATCATGCATGCGTAGGACATAATAGGTCGTACGCAGGTCTTATATAATAATAATTTGTGCCTTAAGGGCATTTTACTTTTAGCGTTAGTTAAATTGTGTAGCCGGCCGGAGACGAACGCGGCTCTATTACGAACGTTATTAATGTGCGTAGTAAATGACATACGCGAGTCGAAAGTGACTCCTAAGTATTTGACCTTTGTCAACAACGGTCGCAATTTAATGCGACAAATGATGTAGTGTGAAAATTTCTTTAAAGAGACGAGGATGACAATATTTTAGTTTTATTTTAACTGTTAAATTTGTTTACAAGTTATTGCTCAACTCATTATTAAATATGAGTTTGGTTACAAGAGAATAAATTATTCTTATTTATTATGTAATCAATAATGTTCTTTAAGCTAGTGCTATTCAGTGGGTTTAAAATTAGATTAGTTAAGAGATAATGTGCGATTTATCAGACAAATCTACTTACGGTGGTAGGGCCACGCAGCAGCCTCGGCTGTTGCACGAATGGGCAGGCCCGTCCGGGTAAGTACTACGAACTCACAGAAGACCGGCGTAAAGTGGAAGTATGACAAATACTTTCGCGTTTCGTCTGGTGAGTGAGGTAGCCGGAATCCAATTTTCAAAAGGTTGTCAACGCATCTGTAACCCTCGGGTGTGGCAGATGTCCATGGGCGGCGGTATTCACTTAACATCAGGTGAACCGTCTGCTCGTTTGACAACTTTTCGCATTAAAAAAAAATCATTACATCAAAAGGGAAACTCATAATCATACATATAAGAGATACAAGAGAAATACATAATCTGTAAAAAATTCAACTGTCTAACTATCACCATTACGACATGAGATACGACGTGGAGCCTGGTGACAGACGGACAGACTGACAGACAGACAGCGGAGTCTTAGTAATAAGGGTTCCATTTTACCTTTTGGGTACGGAACTCTAAAAGATTATTTTAACCAAATAAAATAGAATATTAAGGAATCAAAAATATAGTTCTTTCTAGACACATGAATAAATAATACTACGACGAAAAAAAATTAAGATTATTTCTATGTAGTCTAACCCAGAATATTTTTGTCACTTCTTGAAAGATTTTAGAAAAGATTGCCAAAAAAAAAATTCTAAATTTTCATTGTTTCATTACCAATCTAAGGCATTGAAATATGAAAAACGTTAATAAATCGATCAAGATTTTTTTTTTTAATTTTTTGATTATTCTGTATTTTTGATTATTTTTGATTGTTCCTGTAAAAAAATTACTTGAATTGTTAAAATAATTATTATAAATAAATACATTGTTTATAAGATTTTCAATTTTTTTCTTTTAGGAATATGATGCTTACTGAAAATATGACATTTAAGAAAAAAAATTTTCATTGCTAAAAACGGTTTTTCCAATTTTTTGTTGCTTAGTGTTAACATTATGGAACCCTTTTATTAAAATCATAATTTATCATGTTGTTACATCATAAAAAAATTATAATTTAATTCATTTTTTATTTGGTTTTGTGAACAGAAGCTTGTTTATAAACAAACGAGTTACGAAAAATTTTGTTTATTATTTTTCTGTTTTTTATATAATTTTTAAAATTATTGTACACTTGGACTTGTTATTACCTATCAGGTATTCTCCATTGCTATTAAAGTTACTTATAAACATTGAAGATACGACTAGAACACTCCAAGTCTTATTTATTCTTCAACATTATATTCTTAAATATTGAAGTAGAAGTAGATTCATTTTATACATGAATTAAATAATTAACTGTTGAGTATTGATACCAATGTTTTTTTTTATTAATTATTATATGTAAATTCTTAAATAATCTATCACGCGCGAAAACGAATTTACATTAAAATATAATGGTTGTATTGCACGTGAATCTGAAAAGCGCGCGAGCGCTAGATATTGCTGGCCCTTTAAAGCATGTATTTCAACAAATATCACATTTACGAGATACAGTCATTCTTCTTAATAAGTAGGTGATGATTTCAACCAATGAATGCTGCTGTGATCTGTGATTCGTCCGTTTGAATTGGATCAAATAAGTACGGAGTGGATTTGTATAAATTGTAGCTACTTTCAAAAAGATATTGACGAGCAGTTATTGATCCGAATGGAGCCACTAAATCACATATATATGGTATTGGATCAACAAATCGGGAATGGATCAACAAATTTAAGCGGATCAACAAAAAACTGATCATACGTAACGCTGGATCAAACAACTCCTAGAACGGAGAAATATATATATATGTATATATAATACATAATTTTGGCGAGGCAGGGGGGAAATGTAGTGTTGTAATAGTGACATAATATTATAATAATACTTTAAACCCTCTGCCATCATAGACGATAAAGTGGTGGATAAAATATGATGTCATTGAAATTAATAGTGTATATTTGCACCTTTTTTATCGATATAAGCTGTACAAGGTTGAAAATTATCTCGTAAATTTTTTTCTTATAATATTACATAAGTTTTTTTTGTGATATCTTTAATTGAGAGTCATTGCTTCCAGATTTACGTTTTGTTTTCCCAAAATAATGGGGTCAAAACATTACGATAAGCGGTAATATAAAGCACTTGGTTCTGTTACAATTCAGTCCAGTACAAGCGTGTATCATGAAGACCACATCCGCAATCTCATTCGCAGCGTTATTTGTGTTGTTTATCTGCGTGACGTCAATACGTACGCACCCCTTGCTGGTAGACAGGTTTGCAAATTTCATTGTCGCGAACGGGAAAACTGTCAGCGAAGAAGGTTCCATCATGAACGCAGCGCTGTCCTGGGGTAAGTGGCAGCAGGGCGATGAGGACGTGACCACAGTGAACTACATCGGATTCAACACTGCTAAGGCGGCGAGCTTCCGCGCGTCGGGCCGCGATGGCAGCCCCTCAGGCGCCGAGGGTACATTCGACATATACGAGGGAGGAAGGAGGATAGCCCTCGTCGAATTTTCCATACCGTTCTGGGGTGGGAACGAAGTCAAAATCCATGAATTCGACGACCAATTTGTGTGCAACCAGAAAGGCTTGACAGCAAAGGGCTCCCCGACTATCAATATAAAGTGTCACAGGATCCCCAGTTGAAATCGAATCTAATATTACCAATCTTTGTGTGAGTGCGTGAACTTTAACGTTTCAGTTACGTTGCATGCAACTTGTTATTTTCAATAAATACAAAATACTTAATTGTTTTCTCGTCTCTCCCACCGCATCTACAAATCAACACTAAACGTCGAGTGGTATCGGTTACTGTTCTGTAAACGTTTAGTGTAACAACAGTTGCTACGGGTAAGCCAAGTAGCGAGGCTTTGGCCCAAAGCTCCTCGCTCCGATCTGAGTAGAGTATTGTAAACTTTGTGATTTGTGATACGGTGTAAAGCCCATGTCCTTTGGTGAGTCACCACTGTTGTGTTCTCCTGGGATCCATCTTATAATCCGAACAGAGTTCTTCAAGGATCTCGCAGGCTCATAATTATTGATACGATTTTCACAAAACTAGATAAGTTTGTACACGCACTGCGTCAGCGTAGACGAACGGTGTCTAAAGAAGCAGCATTCTAGCATATTTCAAAAGAAATATATTAAGCAATTTGCGGAGCGAAACCTCTCCACGGCTGTAAGCCACTGAGAATCAAACTCAAAATCAAATGTTTTTATTGAACATAGGAGCATTAAACCCGCTTATTGATAGTCAAAACACTACCACTGGTTCGGAAAAGAAAGCCACTGTACTGAGAAGAACCGGCGAAAGAAACTCAGCGGGCCTTTTTTTAATTTTTTTTTAATCTTATAAAACGTTCAAAACGGATCCGTTGCTAATTGAAAAAAATGTAAAGGAACGTTTGTGTGTTAATGGCAATTACTTATACTATTAGTGATTATTTGAATGATAACACACTGAAAATTAATTGATCGCTCCAGGCTTTTTCAATTTAATAATTGTACACATGTTTATTACTTTTTGTCAAATTACCTTATAAAAATGTCCCGCTGAGTTTATTTCGCCGGTTCTTGTCAGCTCAGTGGCTTTTTTCCGAACTGGTAGTAGTGTTTTTTGACAATCAATAGAATGTAATTCTGACATGAGGCCTGAATTGAATTTCTAATTCTATATTTGAATTTGATCTTTTTGCATCGGAAAGGCCTCAACATCTTTCAAAACATAGTTGAATTTGATGCGGTGGTAAATAATATATTTTTATAGATTTTTTTAGATTTACTAATTGTTTGAGTACATATTTGTTATATAATACAACGTCATTATCAAAATGTCGTCAAAATCCGTCCAGCCGTTTCCGAGATTGGCCGAAACAAACAGAAAAACGGACACATAGAAAATACATAAAAATATTTGAATAATTGTGGTATATGTACCGTTATATCTAAATTCCTTAAAATCTAAATTAATAGTATTCATTTAAAATAACAAGTAACATACAATGTAACTTAAACATAAAAGTTAACGCACACCCACTAAGATTTGATGTTATTTAGTCTCGTTTACAACTGGTAACCTTGTGACACGTTATATTGATAGTCGGTGAGCCCTTGGATGTGAAGCCTCTCTGCTTGCACAAAAACTGGTCGTCCAAATTGCGAATAACAATTTCGTTCCTTCCCCAGAACGGTATAGAAAATTCTACGACGGCGATCTTCCTTGCGCCCTCGTTTATTTTGAATGTACCCTCGGCGCCTGATGGGCTGCTATCGCGTCCCGACGCGCGGAAGCTGGCCGCTTTGGCGCTGCCGAATCCGATGTTGTTCACTGTGGTCACGTCCCTACCGGCCAGCTGCCACTTGCCCCAGGACAGCGCTGCGTTCATGATGAAACCATCTTCGCTGACACCTTTCCCGTTCGTGACTACGAAGTTTGCAAAACAGTCAACACGCACGGGATGCATCCCTCTCGATGTCACGCAGTTCAGCAACACCAAGAACCCTGTGATTAGTATTACGGACGTCGTCTTCATGATACCTACTGGCTTGTACTACACTGAATTGTCACAGTCGAGGCCTTTATATAACTTCAGTTATCGCGCGGTTTATTTTGACCCCTTCGTTTGGAAGAGCAAAACATAAATCTGGAGTCATTCCAATTATAGATAACGTTATAGAAAAATGTATTTTTATTTAACAGGTTACCAATTGATTTAAAAACTATGATATACACTTAGCGTCAAAAAAATCGCACATCCAAAAAAAATAATTTAAATACTATTTTAACACAACAGGCCAATGGCAATGTTGTGGTTTGAGGGTATCATTCGAAAGGTAATTTCATTAGCTTTCAGGAATTTTAATTAAATTTTACTTTTATAACGAGACGAAAGAGAAATTAAAGAAAAAGACAGGGTATGTACAAATTTGCAAATTAATAATTTAAAAAAAAACTTAATAAATACAAAAAAAGTTCTTAAAGCCTAGTGTTAACACCCCCTTGCCTTGATAACGGCTTCCATGGACCTTACAAGGGTCGCAACAGCCTCTTGGGGTATTTGTTCCCACTCTTCAAGTACCGCATCTTGGAGATGACCGCTCTTGAAGAGTGGTTGGAGCTGGATCTCGAGCTCGCACGCACCGTTTTAGGTCATCCCAGAGAAGTTCTATTGGGTTAAGGTCTGGACTTCGTGCTGGCTAATGCATAACAGGGATATCGACCTCCTGTAAATAATCCCGTACAATAGCTGCGGTGTGGCAACGAGCATTATCATGCATTAACATGAATCCATCACCGACATAACCAGCATACGGGACCACATGTTCCTCCAGGATTTTAGTAATGTACCGACCTGCATTTAATGACCCTTGCCCACGGCCACCCCGAGTCCGGGAAACGCACACAAGTTCCGTTTTCCCGTTGACGGAAATGCTGCCCCAAAACATACACGAGCTACCCCCGTATTCGAAGCAGGGTTGTGTGAACCTCTTCCCCTGTCTTCTGTAGACCCTTCTACGTCTGTCATTGCAGAAGAGACAGACCCTCGTCTCATCAGAGAAGAGTTCGGTCCGCCACTGTTCTAGAGTCCACTCGCAATGATTGCGAGCAAACTCTAGGCGATCTCTACGATGCTGTGCAGTAAGTTTTGGACCTTTAGCAGGTCTATGGGCTGTTAAACTCTTTTCGTGTAACCTTCTTCTTATCGTAGAAACACTCACAGATGTTCTCCGAGTTGATCGAAGCTGTTGTTGCAACTCAACAGCATTTGTAAAACGGTTTCGTAAAGATGTCGTAACGATGAAACGGTCATCTCTTTCTGATGTGCACCGTTTTCTTCCAGATCCTGGTTTTCTAACATAACCACCAGTGTGCTGAAAACGTTGGAACACCCGTCTAACTGAAAAACGGGACAGGTTTAACTGTCGAGCAACGTCACACTGCCGCATCCCCGACTGCAATAGGGCAATCACTTGAGCGGCTTCTTCAGAGCTGGTGTCCATCTTTACTTGTTCTTACTTAGGTTACTTGTTCACGTGTGTTCACTGCAAAGTCTAAATTACGACTGACCCATATTTCTTTTGGGCTGGATGAGCCACTCAGTTTCGCCGGACTTGAGGTGGCCGGGCGCTCGGGGTGCCTAGCCTGAACCTCGGCGTATTATTATTACGCGTTATGGTAACTAAGCTCGAGGGCTCCCGAGGGAGCCTCGGCTCGGGCCGTCACGCTATTATTATTACCGGTTTGGGAGGCCGCCAAGCTCCTAGGGCGCTTTGGCGGACGCTCCATGGAGTGACCAGGCTCAAGGGTCCCCGAGAGGGAACCTCGGCTTGGGCTGTTACTCAATACGCGTTTAGCATTCCGATTCGAGGGTGCCCGAGAGGGCTGGACCTCGGCTCGATCGGTAGCTATTATCTGACTGGGAGAATTTCTAGATCTAACATTACTGCCACTTCGGAAAGCGTTGGCGGTGGGAGAAGAAGTGGCGGAAGAAACTCCAGCAACGCTTCTATCATTCACGGGGGAAAACCTGCCAGGTACGTGGCGGAACCTAGTATATGTTTGCCGCACTCGCCGGCGAGTGCGGTGTGATCTGAAAACAGCATTCCAAACCCATATTTCATCCAGATCGACCCTTTTATATCCTTTTAGGTGGTGTAACTTCCTTACTAACTGTAGTCCTTACTAACGAGCATTTGACAGTGTTTATTTTTGACGCTCTATAATGATAAATGTTTTAATGATTTCATGATTTTTTATTAATAATGTAAAGCTATTCAAATACCCATTTCAAACATACCAATATTTATATAAATATAATTCGTTTTTAGCCATTACAGCCATTTTTCGTGCAAACTCAGAGAGGTGCGAGTCAGACAGATAAGAGAAGAATTTTTCTACATATTTTAACAGATAAGAGAAGCTTCAAAAATACTTTAAAAAAGTTCCTACTTGCAAAATGTTACTTTAGTGTCAGCGAATTTCTAGACGATAATGCAATTCAATAACCTTAAAAAAATTTTCCTGACATTTTATTTTTTATTTTGACAAACCATTACAATTTTTTTATTATTATTCTTTTGACTTTTTATACATTATTTTATTTATAATAATGAGTCATAATTTCTATTGTAAATTTATATAATTGTATTTTCAATTGTAAACCATTTTAACTGCATAAATTGTTTGCAGTGTATTAAGTAAATATAAATGTAGAAGAAAAAGTAAACAAATGATCAAAAAGCTAAATCACCAATTGTAGACCAAATGGAATGTTACTGGAAAAGCATTGAATTCGTGTTCCATTAGTTTACCAATGACAACTGAATCCGCTAACTCCTGGGATTTTCTTTAAATAATAGGTCGACTATTTTGTAGATTTTAATGCTATTTTTATTTGATTCGATACAAAAACAAACGGTTCGATCGGGTTTCAAAAAAGTTGTGTTTTGACATTTCGCGGTGTTGCCATGGGCGAAAGCTAATTCTTAACATCTTGCCCCCCCTCGACGACTGAAGGAGCTCGAGTAGGTGGACTTGCTGCCCCAGTGGTTGATCCTGGCAGGCAGCAGAGCTTATGAATGGCTCGCCGGACAACCCCTTTAGACGTTTTCACATCAGCAACTCGCTGGATGCCGTCCGGTCCTGTAAAGAGCCTCTGGATACGCCCCATGCGCCACTTAAGCGGAGGCACGCCCTCCTCCCTGAGCACGACCAGTTCACCTTCGTGGAGCCCCTCTTGCTTCACTCGCCATTTGGTCCTCTGCTGCAATTCGCTTAGATACTCATTTCGCCAACGTTCCCAAAAATGTTGCCTCAGTTGTTCTATGCGTTGATACCGATCAAGTCTGTGCATTTTGACATCAGTGAGGCTCGGTGATGGAAGCGAAGTCAAGGGTCTTCCGATCAGGAAGTGCCCGGGAGTGATAGGTTCAAGGTCGTTAGGATCAGCGGATAGAGGAGTCAACGGGCGGGAGTTGAGAATCGCCTCGACTTGAGCAAATAGAGTCGATAACTCCTCGAAGGTTAAATGTTGACTTCCTAACGTTCGAATTATATGGTGTTTGGCAGATTTTACTGCCGATTCCCAAATTCCACCAAAATGTGGAGAGCAAGCTGGGGAAAATTTAAAATTAATTCCTTCATCAGCTGTGAAGGCGGATACGTCGTCATTGCTAGACCTTAAGAACCTTGCGAGTTCGTTGCTTGCTCCAACAAAATTTGTCCCATTGTCACAGTATATAGTTACTGGCTTTCCTCGACGAGATATGAAGCGTTTCAAACATGAGATGAAGGTATTTGTGGAGAGATCGCTTGCCACCTCTAAATGGAGAGCCTTGGTTGCAAAACAAACAAATAAGCATAAATAGCACTTGGATGTTTTGCCCCCACGACCCTTGCGATCAAGAATGAGATATGGCCCGGCGAAGTCAACACCAGTGATGTGAAATGGAGGGCTTGGTGTGACTCTAGCAGCGGGTAAGTTACCCATGATGGGATTAATTATTTTAGCCTTTAAGATTCTACAAATTTTACATTGATTAACCGTGCTCCGAGCTAAAACTCTGCCTCTCAACGGCCAGAAATCGCTTCTTATGTTGCTCAGCAAGAGTTGAGGTCCGCAGTGTAGGAATTTTTTATGAAAATGCATAAAAAGCAATTTAGTAAAAACATGACTCGAATCTAATAACATGGGATGTTTTCTATTGTATGTTTCAGATGAGCTTTGAATTCTCCCACCAACACAGATTATTTGATCGTCACTAAGAAACGGACTCAAAGATAAAATGAGAGATGATACAGGTAAGTTTTGTTTATTTAAAAATTGTTTTATTTCCTTAGCGAAACAAATTCGTTGATGTAGTTTAACTAACGTCACTAGGGATGATCTTAACTCATCTGTGGTTAAAGATCCTGTAGTTTTAAAGGTTTTGTTACGTAGATTATTAATAAATCGTAGAACATAGGCTACAGATCTGTGCAATGTTGAGAACTTCGAAAATCTTTCAAAGTTCACCACATCGCCCAGATCTGCAGTTGTTGTAGTGGTTAAGTTCGTAGTGTGTAGTGTAGTTGTAGTGTCGTGTTTAGTGTAAGTTTTCCTTTCAGGTAATTCAGACATATTTTTTATAGTGAGATTGTTAGGCCAATCAATCTGGTCGTTCATTAGGAACGACGGTCCATTCCACCAAATCTTGGACGAATGAACTAGTTTAGGACTGACGCCTCGTGATGCTAAATCTTCCGGATTTATTTCTCCGGGTATGTGTCTCCAACAAGACTGAGCAGTAAGATTTTGAATTTCCGAGACACGGTTTGAAACAAATGGTTTCAAGTCACGAGGTTCTGACTTTAACCAGCCCAGTACAATTGTGGAGTCTGTCCAGTGGAATATAGTATCGATGTTGCATCGTAGAGCCTTCAATACCTTACTACTTAAACGTGCCGACAGGAGAGCTCCGCAAAGTTCCAATCTTGGGATGGTAGTAGTTTTCACTGGAGCGACCCTTGTCTTAGCACAAAGTAGCCTTACTA